TAATTCGGGGCGCGTTGTAGCTCTTTCACTTTTGATTTGATTTTTTTTGATTGTTTTGCACAGGCGGACTTTCAGTTTCAAGGCTTAAATGCTAGTTGTTAAAGCCCTGTCCATATGATAACAAAGCGCTCGAACAATCACATTTCTTTGGCCTGCAATCGCATTTCAATTGTGCCCCTTGTTGTCAGCTAATCTCATATGGTTCTTCCTGTACACTCGCAGAAAATACACCAAAACCTAGCAAGTAAAGCGCCCTGTGCACTATGTGACCTATATCTGTTTCTGGAGAATATCATAGAGGCACTGCTAATATTTCAAATATTCCAACAGAATCCCTAATCGCCTTCCCGCCCCCCGGTTCGCCATTGAATTCCCCGAGTGCTCCAGATAGCATTACTGCCCACGCACACGAGCGTGGATTTCAGTACTTTAATCTAGTTGCCACTGGCATTGTTTGCTTAAAGCATAGTGTATGGCTTATAAAGTATGTACATGTACCTAAGTATGAGTGTACATGTGGTGCTCCTCGCGTTTTCTTATCAACGGACCTCCCACCCCCCGAAATTATAGGTCCCCGGCCACGGAGCACAAAGTAAATCGAGTTTTTCAAATCTCAGTTTTCAGTTGTGAAAAGCGAACAAAACATTGGCACCGATTCTAGTCGATCTCGATGCAAGGAGGTTAATAAAGGAACAGCTGTTGCTCGAAATATTAATTTGTATAACTCAACTATTTGATATTCCCTTTCATTGGCAGTCAGCAGTTCCATCGCATTAATTGGAACCACTGCATTACTCGATCCCTGCAGTTCGGAGATAAACAAGATATGCGATCGAATTTAAGCACAATAACCCAACACTTGGGGCCGTTGGGAAAGAATAGACCGCAACAGGTGCACATCGGCTGATGGCCCGGTTCCAGGTGCTCATTGTAAATATTGTGTAACACTTGTCAGCAGCACTTGTGAAGTGCTAGACTCGCGATTCGAGTGCATGACCCAGAACGTGATTTGGAATTCTACGATGACTATTGCACACTTGATAAACTAGTTCGATGTTTCTAAATGCTTCCCAAAAAGATTCCCTTAAGTATACAAAGAGCAGCAATTTGTGTAGCACTCACCCCTTTTTGTTAGCAGTGTGACGGAGGCGGTGGTCACGCCCTTTATTTTGAGCACATGACTCTCGATCTTGTTGACGCAGGAGGCGCAAGTCATGCCCATGATCTCCAGCTCCACCTCGGCCTCGCCGTTGTCCGGTTCATCGATGAGTTCGGTGGGGAAGCCCAGCTCTGTGATGGATTTCGCTATGTTCTCGGCCGTTACAACATTGGCATTGAACTTGACCTCCGCCTTGGCGGCGAGCAGGGCTACCAGGATGCTGTCCACTCCGTAGATCTTCTTGCAGTGCTTCTCGATGGCGGCCACACAGCTGGCGCAGGTCATGCCCCGGATGTGGAGAAAGCACTTGGTCAGTAGCTCTTGCTCGACGGGTATGACCACTGCCGAACCATTTTGAGCATATGAAGGAGGAGGAGGAGGAGTAGCCCTCTTTTTGGGTGATGAGGCAGGTGCGGGCGACGGCGAGTGGGATGGGGAATGAGGCTCCTGCACGCTAGCCTCAAAGCCCATGTCATCGATGAGCTCGGCTATCTGGGCGGGATCATACTGAGCGGGATCGTACTGCACGCGGGCATTTTTGGCCGCCAGTTGCACCTCAATGGAATGGATGCCCGGCTTGGTGCCGATGTTGCCCTCGATGTTGCGCACGCACGACTGGCAGGTCATACCCACCACTCGTATGCTGGTCCAAGCGCTGGAGGGAATGGTGGAAGCATCTGCTGCTTCACCGGGATAGCTGCACTCGAAGCCCATGTCGTCGATATCGCTGGCTATCCGGGCGGGACCCGTCAGTCGGGGATCGTAGTCGAAATAGCCCGCATTCTCCTCGAGAATGACGCGCACGCCAAGGACTCCCGGTTTCTGGCCAATGTGCTCTGTGATATTGCGCACACACGACTGGCAAGTCATGCCCACAATGGGCAGGCGCACCGTGGACATAGTCGCTGCTTCTTTCTCGTCACTTGGCATCCTCAATTTGCATTATTTTGGTGGGCGGAATACGTCGTTACGGAATTACTTGAGAACTTGAGATTTTGAACTTTTGAGTTGCCCCTCGCCCTGTCGCCAGTACCGAATTGTGTCACTAAATTAACTTTGGAGTCGAGTGTGTCGTATTGCAGCTGCTACTGATTTGTTGTGGTGGAGTAATTGTCTCCCGCCAACGCTTTTCACTTGCTCAAACTCCACACGAAACTCAAAATTTTGCGTTTTTGTGTGTAATTTTTCAATTAGCAGGCAACAGCTGCTCCGCTCCCGTTATGTTTTTCGCACGGCACGCAACTAGCGATGGCAACTAGATAGCCAGGCGCTATCGAAACGACCGATACCACTTAGGGCATATCGATATATCACTGCAGCTTTTGAATCGATAGAAAACCATATATCGATAATTTCGTACAATGAGGCTCTCTAATGCTTACCTTTAAGTTATTTTATTTTTTAGTACATTTGCAAGCTAAAAAGTTGACATCTTTCAGTATAGCCCAATTAGATTTGAAAAATATCAAGATATCGTTCAGCCAAAAGCTACGTCCCCTACTTATCGATGAAAAGTCGACATAACTCACGCCCGAACTGTCATCTCTGTCCGGTTGACAAGCGATTTGATTTGGTTTGTTTTGGCCCCTTTTGCCCTGAATTGCCGGAATTTCCATTTCCATTTTTTCCAAATCTTTTATAAGATCCAACTCAAGCTTGGCCTAGGAACACAACATGCCGGTGGTGGAACTGAAAGTGGACCGCAACCTGGTGTGCCCGAACTTCGATGGCTACAAGTTGTCCTTCGATTCGGTGCCAGTACTTCGGCAGGATCTCGGATATGATGCCCACGTACTAGAGCCGCACGCCAATCAGTTCTCGCTGCTGCATGTGGAGCTCTTTGCCCGGCACAATCACCTGGTAGCCGATCCATGGCTTCGTACCTGCAGCTACTTCTTCAACGAGCGCCACCAGCTGGTGCAGTGCACCTCCGATCCAGAGAGTGGCCACACACGTGGCCAGCGCGTTGTCTTCACGGTGGACTATAGCGATCAGGGCGATGAAAGGCTACATAGGCCAGGGGACTACAACTACACAATAGTTTTCGTTTCGGAGCGGTTTTGTGTGATCTGCGACGGGATGACCTCATACCATCTGGTGGACACCGGAGACAGATCGCGCTCCGGTGAGCAGGAGTGGCAACGGATTACACGCTCGCCGGTGAATAATGCCAGTGGTCATCGCGGCTTTGCACTCTTTGATGCCCGGCTGGATGTGGTGCAGGAACGCAAGCAAATCTCGCTGGTGGCAGGTCATGTAGCACGCCGTGAAGCAGTTGCCAGAGATCAGACGTACGTCTATTACATGGATTTGACCTGGGCACGGTGGACTCAATCGTCCGCCAATGACGAGTGGTCATATAGAATATGCCAACGGCTGGAGACCACTGGTTCATTGCAATACTGCGCCTTTGAGCCTCGGGCCGAGTCTCTAGTCATTGCCAGCAACCGCGAAGTTCAGACACCCGAGCAGCGCCAGGCAGCCGATGAAGCAGCCGCTGCGGCGGCAGTCGCTGCCCGCTTAAATCCAGTTGATCAAGATGTCCAACTGCAAAATGGGGGCCAACATACTTATAGCTGGTCCCAGACTGCTGATAATGTGCTCATTCGTTTCAAAGTTCCTTCTGCATCCGCTGAAGAGTTCGAAGTGAGTGGTTCTAGCACCACTGTCGTTGTAAAGCATCTGGATCAGGTTATCTTCAGCGAAAAGTTATACGCCAGTGTGGTAGACGATTTAGGTGTCCTTAAGCTGGCGGAGAATAATCTAGAATTAAAGCTTACCAAGGTGGAGACTCACAACTGGCCACGGTTGCTCGCGCAGGAGGGAGAGGGCGTAGCGGAGGAAGTACCTGCCATGGAAGCTGCACCACTGCCCATTCCCGACCTTGAGAATCCCATTGAAGAATGTGACCTGGGACCCACTGACGAGGAAATTAAAATGGGTAAGTATTCCATGAAATTTTGTATATACTTAACTAATACGTTATGTGTTTCAGTGCGCTTCAATCTGACCAGCGGGAGCATCACCCACACCATCTTTCTTGGTTCCACGCCACTGGTGCTCACCACCACGCTGCGTCCTGGGTTTCCGGCAGCCTTTGCTACCCGGCAGGGCGTCGACGCCTCCATATGGCTTCAGATGTACCAGCCCAGTCGTCCAGACGAATGGAGTGTACGCCACGAGGGCCAGCTGCACGCCTTCGCCTACGTGCAGGCCTCCAAGGTTCTGCGCAAGTTCACCGCCTGCTGTCCGGACTTGGATTACGTGGCCATATGTGACTCTGTACGCCATGTGCTCGTCTACTTTCCGAGCCACGACTCAGCCAGTGGTCTGCGCAGGCGCAACGGACCTGCTGTCTCCTTGGGTAAACAGAACCTCGTCACCTTGGGCGACAATATTAACGAGATTCTGGGCATAACCACGGCAAACAATGTGATCACCATTCTCTCCAAGCACGAACTGCTACGCCTGCAGGTGTAGACTGTGATCCGCTTCCCTTAGCAAGCAGACTTTCCTTTTTCTCTATTTAGTTTTAAAAAATTTTTGGTTCAGTGGACAATAACTGCATTTATGCACTTAACCACTCACAATTCCAATATTGAAATGTATTTTTGAAGATTAATAGTTTTACAAGAATATTGAGAACGCGATGACATAATAAAATTTTAAATATATATACATCTCCGTCTTTTTAATGTTTCATTATAAATAATACCAACTTAACAGCTTTTAATGATGGCGCCAAACCAAGATTTTCGAAAAGCGTGGCAGCGCTGCTGTTTCGATAGGTGGCGCTCCAAGTACCGATAGCCGCTACGTGGGCCAGCTGTGTTGCACAGCGAGCGAGAAAAAAGAGTGTTGACACGTCAGAACCTCGGACTTATCGTGCGGCGATAACAAAGAACGCCGACTTGTGGGCATATCGATACCGTATCACAAATAACAAAAACACGTCACGTAATCCGGACGGAGGCTGGTGAGTAAATGGAATGACAGGTGGCATTGCATTTGGCAGGAATCTTGGCAGTGACCTAGCGCATTTCTCTTGCAGCTGGAAAAATAGCGGGCGGTGAACCAGGGCATCATTAGAATCCAGCAGGCAATACCACAAAGCAAATTGGAACCATGAACACACAAATCGTTGTATTTGTGGTGGCCCTGATGATGCACTGCATCTCTGCCGTGGAATTCACCTTCGATCTGGCCGATAACGCGGAGGATTGCTTCTACGAGGAGATCAAGAAGAATTCGAGCGCCTACTTTGAGTTCCAAGTGTCGGCCGGTGGCCAATTGGATGTGGACGTCACACTAAAGGATCCGCAGGGCAAGGTCATCTACAAACTGGAGAAGGCCACCTTCGATAGCCATCAATTTATTGCCGAGTCAACGGGCGTGTACACTGCCTGCTTTGGCAATCAATTCTCGGCCTTCTCGCACAAGATCGTCTACGTGGACTTCCAAGTGGGCGACGAGCCGGCTCTGCCCGGTGTGGATGAACATGCCACGGTGCTTACACAGATGGAGACTTCATCGCAGGCGATTCACAAGGGCCTCAACGACATCCTGGACGCACAGACGCATCACCGACTGAGGGAGGCGCAAGGTCGCAAGCGGGCCGAAGATCTGAACCAGCGGGTTATGGTCTGGTCCTCCCTGGAGACGGCCGCCGTCATCCTGATCGGTCTCGTCCAGATTATGGTGCTGAGGAACTTCTTTACGGACCGAAAGCCCAGCCAGACGCACTACGGACGGCTCTAAACGATCGGGTTTCATGTTGGGATCTAGCTTAGTTCAGAGCCCTTGTAAGGAGAGGGTGTCCTCCAATCCCCAACTGTCCAAATCCCCCGAAATGTTGTCAATCTCGTCATAGCCACAACGTATTCATTCCCCCCCTCAAGGGCGTTTCTTTTTCGGGGAAAAAAAAACCCTAACGACATGTAATATTTTTTTGTTAAGACCCAGCCCGGTAAAACAGAGAATGTTTTTTTTTTTTAAATACATAAAAAAGCAACCACCACTCGATAGCTAAAGGTATTCACGAAGCGTTTCAATAGGGGGGTCAAGGGGGCATAATCTCGCCCAGAAGCAACAAAGTCGGACAATGAAAACAAACCCCTTTGACTTCAGCAATATTTCGCGCAGTAAAATTATCTAGCACTTTGGAAATCCACCTTTATTCTAATCTGACACCAAAGCGACTGAAGTTTCATGCGACTCAGTTCTATTAACATATCCCATTTTTATATGATGGCGTGGCCTCTAATATACTATATGGATATAGCTAAGACTTGTACGTACATATACATATATCTTTCATAATTCAGCTGAATCAATAGGAAGGAATTTAGCTGCGTGGGGGAGTATGTGGTATTGTATCCAATGTACCTTAATTGAGAATTAATTTTAACTGCACACGCAAATTAAGCGAGAAAAAACTCCCAATTAGGCGGTGCTCAGTCAACCATATTTTAAGTTCTACTCTGTATAAGGAAGTTAATATAGATATGACCTCAAATGAATAGACACAGAATGAATAAAGCAGCCAGCATTATGATAACTTATAACATGTACCCATCAAGTGGAATAAAGGGCTACATTTATCAACAACGGAAAATTATCTTTGATTTTTAATAATGCATTAATCTTGTTCTTGACATCAACCTTATCGGCTGATAATAATTTTGGGATCGTGGTCAACTTTGAGATCCATGTTGGCTTGATACTGATAAGGAGATAGCTGGGTTGTCGGGGTATCAACAGATACCCCAGATATATCACCAAAGGTAATGGCATTATGAAATCCGAACGGGCTCGTGTTACTAAACGACAATTATGCAAACCAAACTATTGCCACCGCTGAGATGATGCCCCCCATGGAAATGCAATAAATCTTTTTAACTGCCGTATGCGCGCTCAGTCATCTTTTATTTGATGATCTTCATTGACTAGGTTTTGGAATTTCGCAGATCTTTTGTCAATCGCACAGGGCATTGCCAAATATAAACATCCAGATATCAAATACGATAAATGGCATGCAAATATCGCGGCCAATTAATAGTATTTAAATCAGTCCAAGACAATGACAGTGACACATCGTTCAGGGAAAAATTGCTGAAGCAAAAACTATTTGGCAAAAATGTTATCTCTATTTCTTACACTCAAAATTTGCGTGGAATATGTTTGTAATGCTGTCAGTTGTTTTTTATTGCTGATTAATGAACCCTTCAACTTTGAAATTGGATTTCCAGTATGCGTTTATATTTGAATCTGCCTGATACAAATAAATACAACTTTCAAGGGTTTTCAATACTCTAGATATATTATTTATAGATTCTTTTATGGCACTCATTATTTGGAGTTTATTATTTGGTCTTTTGGCTGGCCCTAAAAGTTGTTGGCCAAACTGAATTCGCGACTTGGCAACAACAGATGGCCAGCAGCTCGCAGCCAAAGTGAAGGGGAAATCCGATCCGAAGGACTTTTGTAAATGAATTGTCAGCGGATCGATTGATCGGCCCCAAAATGGGGTTAATCGCACTTTGGCTGCCAATTACCCCGATATAATGATAGTAATAACCTGAGTTGTGGAGTCAGAGGTTAAATCGCAGACCCAGAAATTGTAATATTTTAGTCGGTCCAGCAGGTATGCGCTTCATTATAATCTAAATTATAAGTTCTAGTTCCCTTTTAGAATTTCCGGTATAAAATGATGTGCTATTTGCATACTTAACTATAGGAAGTACACTTTAACCCACATCCTTATAACGTGTAGCGTTCCCCTAATGCGAATCAAATATAAAAATTGATATAAATTATTCATGTGCAGCAGGGATTATTAAAACAACTCCCATTTCAAAACCCAATCAGTTTTGCATGGCGTGGCCCAATAGATAATGGCCAATCAATGAATCGTCACTGTTGGGGTCCCCAAAACAAATGAGCCGAACACGCCCCAAGCTTCCTAGAGTGCCACGCCCATTTTATGTGAGTTCCATTCCCTGCCCCCCTGAAAAGACCCACAGAGCAGCAGTTTTTGGCCAAGAGGTCGCCGCTGTGGCTGCGGAGACTCTACGGGTTTTATGTGTCAATTAGTAATCCGACGACACCGCTCCATCCGTCAATGGGACCGGATGCTGCGAGGGTTGCTCAATAGTTTCTGGAAAATATTTGGAGAAGTCTTTGTTAGCAAGCGAGGAGCAGATCATTTTCTGCTTATTTTTTACTTCTTTAATACATGGTAATGTATTTGTAGTATTTTAATAATTTTTTGTTCCAACTCTGAAAATATATCGTTTTTATATAATATTATATTCCCATGTGGAATGGCAACTCAAAGGTTGGAGAACTGAATCGGTGAAGAACCATATTTCTAATGCTAACATTTCCATTGATTAAGTAAGTTTTTAGAAAAGCTTTCGATCTGCCCTCTGGGCAGACGCATTTGTAAACGATTCGGTTTCCCCTTTCATTTCGTTTTCATATTTCGTGTCGTGATTTTTTTAGTAGTAAGTTTGTTTATCTTTATCGTCTTTGCCAAATATTTCCAATGCACTGAGAGAAATAGGAAGTGGAAATAGGACGATTAAAATGAAAATGTATGAAAATGATCATTTCCTGATACTATTACCTTTATACTATTGTAAAAATATAATAAATATAAGTTATACATATCTGTACGAATAGAAAAGATGGTGTAGAACTATGATGGAGGACTAATGTTTGTTAAATATGCAGAAGTGCCCAATTTCTCTCTGTGTAGCCCCACAACATTGCGTTGCAGCCTGTTGCTGTTCCAGCTCGAATATGGCACAAATTTAACACTAATAGTTATTCCAGCTAACGCATGGCCAATAAGTATGTAAATCGAGCTCGGATGGCCCACTAATGGGTGGCGATGTTTGTTAATGTTAATATATGGACATTTTGGCCATTTATACATTTTCACAGAGAACCGGAAAGAGAGTGAGAGAGGGGGGGAGGGGGGAGAGGGGCAGAGAGGGAAGGCAAGCGAGAAATTAAATAATTAACAAGCCAGGCAATATGCATATCAAATTTTGTTGTTATGCCAACAAACTGCAGGGGAACACTCATAAATAATTAATAATGCATATCCAATGCTAATTCACGTGGAGCCCAAATTTATGGCCCCAAAGAATTGGGGATGGGGCCTGAAAATTCCGAATGGAGTTACAATAAAATGCATTTCACAACTAATTTTGAATAATAGTTTGATTAAATGGCTTTAATTGCTGTGGCAACACGCGTTATTTGATGGACGAACATTAAATAATTATAAGCAAATTAACAATAAAATCAAACTTGATATGGCAAAATATATTACAAAATATACGAAAATATAACTAATACATCATGAGTTCTGAGCTACCAACGTTTTTCTCATCGATCAGGTCGAAATATTGTCGTAAAACATTTTGAAATGCCACTCAATTATGCAATCCACCATAAATGCGAACTGAAATAAACGTTCACACATTGTTTTATTTAGTCAGTTAATAAGTATCTGTGGGCCAGGCCCTTTGATATATTTTGATTTTTGTTTGGCCAATAATTCGATTCAATTCAATTCGATTCAATTATTTGCAAGACCCGCCTTTGTTGACCATCTCGTCTGAGCATTTGCCCCTTTCGGCCTTTTGTCTGTTGGCCAAGTGCTGGTGGCTTTTGGCCGTTTTGTGTGCATTGGCTAGTCAGCCGGTGGGCCAAATATGCATAAAATATTTGTGTTAAGATGGGTCAAGGTTGCTCGATTGTCGGCGAGAGGGGAAATCCCCCCGAAACCGATCGCCATGGGAAAATTAGACGCGTTTCTGCGGAAAACCAGTTGAAAGATACACATGTCGCTATAATAGTTATACAACTCCGGCTGCTTTGTTGTGATTTGTATCAAAAGCCTATGAACAGTCATGTTTTATGTGCTTTTCCTTTTTTTTGACGGGCGATGGTTGACATTTTGGTGGGTTTTTGGATATTTAGAGATACGCCATAAATGATAAAATACGCACGTCTTAAATTGTAGACTGTGTTAAATAATAATCGCCGATAATAATCGCTTTGCGCACTTAGAAGCGGCTTTTATAGAGGCAAAAGTTGCTGATGAAGCCATCATAAAACTTCAACTGAGGTTGCACAAGAATCCACGAATATATCCTGGTAAGCTGGGGTATTTTTGAAACTTCATACGCGGCAGACGTGCTTATCAGTGCTTAATGTTTAATTCATAGACGCTCGAAAGTAACAAATAAATATACACATAAAACCAATGAAATCAGTCGACACGCATTGCTAATGACAGATGTAATCATTTTTTGGCAATGCCAGCCCGATATTTAGCGAGCATTTTGCGAAACCCGTATCCGTATCCGAACGCGTATCTGAATCCGAGTCCGTATCCGAAACCGAAACCGAAACCAAAGGCAAAGCTAAAAGCTAATAGCAGGAAATCCAAGCCAGCCGGAGGATTGCGCAATCCGGACGGAGAACGCACTGACCACCGCTGACTGATGTCCCATGTCCGCGGCACTTTGGCAGCAGGCGTATTAGTTACATCCGCCAAAGCAGACGGGTTCGGGAATTGGCCGGCATGCACTGCGAAAAAATGTAGCGGCTGCAAAAAGACCATTCCAATTTCCAAGTAAATTGCCCACATTTTCAGCGAAATGATGGTAATTCTGGTAAAACAAACAAATATCAACAGCTGGACTTGTTTTTTTGACCAATCCTATAAAGTGGCCTATAAAGTTTTCTGCGTGCAGCTGAGCGGCGATAACTCAATAAGCGGAATCCGAATATCCGAGCGAAATGCGAACGACCGAAATGTTGCGCAGCAGCCCATGGTAACTAGCCCCAACTAATGAAAGCCCCCTTCTGTCCACCGATCACTGGGCACTGGGCACTGGGAGCTGGAAGCTGGGAGCTGGGAGCTGGGAGGGGGCAGGTGATGGCGAGATGCGGAGATGTCGATCGATGTAGATGAATATGAAGATGCGCCGACTAGTTTGCGGATGGCCCTTGTATAAAACGAGTGGCTGGGTCAATGGGGGCATCATTGATCGGTTGGACATCGAGGGCTCAAGCACGACCACTGTGAAGATGAATGTAAGCAGAGCAGTTGCCCGTGGCTAAGGATTACCAAGCAGCCAAGGATGCATTTGCATCCATCCACACCATTTCCTTTTTTTTTCTGTGACTCAAAGAATTTGTTTCTGTGTTTTCTTACGATTCGTTTTCGGTGAAGTTCATTGCGCTCGCCATCTGCGCGCTATGCGGATTAACCCAAGCGGATATATCGCTCAAGTTGCGGCAGCAGCAGCAGCAGCAGCAGCAGCCGCTGATCACCAAGGAGCAGTACTACAAGACGGGCGGTGGCTTCCAGGAGAGCAACTACGGCAATTCCGGCTATCAGATCTTCGAGGTGCACAACCACTTCGCCGCCAAGGGCCCCGCCTACCTGCCGCCCCTGGGTCAGGGCGCACATGGTCATGCCCACGACGACAGCCTGGACCTGAGCTTCCTCAACTTTGCCGATGCCCCAGCTCCCGCTCCCGCTCCCGCTGCAGCTGCAGCTGCTCCTGCCACAGCGCCCGTTCCCGTGCCCTTCCCCTCGAGCTACCAGCATGACTTCCAGCGCAAAGCGCCGGCTGCATCCTCGCTGGGCTACAGTGGCCAGGCCTATCTGCCACCCACGGCTGCCGCACCCATTGTCCAGCAGCAGCAGCAAGTGATTCCGCAGCAGCAGCAGCCAGTGATTCCGCAGCAGCAGCAGGTGCCACAGCAGTACAGCCCACAGAAGTTCGAGGCACCAGTGTCCAGCTACCAGGCCACGCCCACCAGCTACCAGCAGCCACAGAAGGTCTTCCAGGGACCAACATACCTGCCTCCACAGCAGCAGCAGGTGCAGCAGCAGGTGCAGCAAGTTCAAGAGGTGCAGCAGCAGCAGCAGCAGCAGCAAGTGCAGCAGATTCAAGCCGTTCAGCAGCAGCAGTCGATTTCTGTGCAGAATCCGGCCCAGGAATACCGTGCTCCTGGCTACCTCCCACCTGGCTACGAGTTCGCCACGCCCGCTCAGTTGCCCGCGTCGCTCGGCCGCAGTGTCCAGAATGTGGCCACCACGCAGAGCGTGGCATCGGTGCAGCAGGCTGCCGGCGAGTACCGCGCTCCTGGCTATCTGCCACCTGGCTACGATGAGCCACGTCCCCAGGCACCAACCCAGATCACCTACCAGCAGCCACAGCAGCAGCAACAGCTGCAGCAGCCACAGCAGCAGCAGCAGCAACAGCTGCAGCAGCAACAGGTGTATGCTGCTCCTACACAAGCAACCATTAGCCATCCCGGCGCCCTTCCCGATGGCTACGATTTCGTCAAGCCCGAAAACGCCGAGGCCGCCATTGCCGAGCTGCACAGCCTGCAGACCCAAACCAAGCTGCTGAAGCAGCAGCAGGAGCAGCAGTTGCTCTTGCAGCAGCAACAGCAGCAGCAGCAGCAGCAGCAGATCGTGGTGCAGTCCCAGTTGCAGGTGGCCCAGCAACAGCAGAGCGCAGACATCGTCTACGGCCGTCCCAAGTCGCAGCTGCAGCAACCTTTGGCGCCCCAGAGCACACTTGCCACATCTACTGCCGTCAGCTACCAGCAGCAGTTTGCGGCTCCTGGCTACCTGCCTCCAGCTGGCACTGCTCCCGCGCCATCGCCAGTTGTGGCTCCTGCGCCCGTTTCCATTCCAGCTCCGGCGCCCTTGGCTGCTCCCGCTCCAGCTCCAGCTCCAGCTGCAGCTCCCGTTGCCGTTGTCCAGGCGGTGACCACCTCTGGCTCCTACCAGCAGCAGTACAGGGCTGCTGGCTATCTGCCACCAGCAGTGGCCGCTCCTGCTCCTGCTCCAGCTCCTGTCCAAATTGCAGCTCCAGCTCCCGTTCCTGTCCAAATCGCTGCACCAGCTCCTGCTCCTGCTCCTGTCCAAATTGCTGCACCAGCTCCAGCTCCAGCTCCCGTGGCAGTCCGTGTTGCAGCCCCTGCACCAGCTCCTGTCCAAATTGCCGCTCCCGCTCCTGCTCCAGCTCCAGTGCGTGTCGCCGCTCCCATCCACGTGACCGGCCCCGCTCCCCTCGCCATTTCGCTGCCAGCTCCAGCGCCCACCCAGGTGACGCACATCCACTCCCTGCGCAGCTACATGAACACCGTGCAGCCATTCGCCCGCTACGCGCAGCCAGTCACCGTGCGCCAGCAGCAGCCTCATCATGTCCAGCAGCAGCAGCAGCAGCAGCAGCAGCTCATCGAGGTGGCGCCCATGTACCGCGAGCAGTCCAAGCGTCCCCGCTTCTATGCCCCTGCGTACGTGAGCAACGCCGTGCCCCGCCAGCTGCCGCAGCATCACTACCACCGCGTGGTGCAGGGCCAGCAGCAGCTGCAGCCCACCCTGAGCTTCAAGGCGCAGCAGTCGCTGCAGAAGTTCATGCCCAGGGACGTCCAGGTGGCGGTGAATGTGGCCATGGCGGCCACGGCGCCAGTGGCGGCACCAGTCGCCCTGCGCGGCAGCTCCCGGGTGCGCACCGTGCAGATAGTGAAGCCACATGCCACGCGAACCTTCAAGGTGCTGGAGCAGCTCGACCAGGCCGGCGTGAAGACCATCAAGATCCTGGGAGCGACCAATGAGCAGCCGCAGGGACGCCACCAGGTGGTCAAGGTGGTGACCCAGAATGCGCACAACGGTGCGGAGAGCCATGTGCAGACCGTCAAGATCTACGACGATGTGCAGCAGCCACTGCGCTTGTTGCCACTGCCACAGCCGCAGAGCAATGCCTACTTGCCACCTAGTCGCTCCAGGGCGCGAATCGTGCGCCAGGCGTCGAAGCCACTGCGCCTGCATCCCGTGGCCAGTCTGTAGAGGATCGGGCACCCACCCAAGCGCACTCCCAGCACTGATTAGTTGTTAATCTCATCCATGCTCTGCACTGCTCTGCTACTATTATTTTTTTTCTCAGTCCTTGTTGCAACTCCCTCTATTTTCCACCTCATTTCGCAGGCATTTGATTGAAATACCCAATCGCATTCGAAATCAAATCATTTGCATGCAATAACAGCGACTCGAATTTCTTACCTAATAAATGTATACTTACGTAAAATATGTAAATAGTTTGACTGTCTAATTTCGTTGATTGGAGCTGGCTGTGCTTTTTAGGGCGGACCTTGATTTTAATGGCTTGTGGTTTCCAGTTTCATTCGACTCGCAATGCTTGCGATTCCAATCTTCAGAATATATATTACACCATATGTACCAGAGCTCTACAACAGCCACTTAGGAACCAATTTAATTTGAGTTGCATTTGAAAACGTTTTCAAGCTGGACCCATTTGGAATCACCATCCCAAAAATCTCGAATCGGATGGCATGGCTATGACATCTCCATGATTTCGAACATAATTCAGACGCTGTCACTAATCCCAAATTATTCATCTTCTGGGCTGGGCCCAAACTCTCTCCCGATGCGTGACCTTCGTGGTTTCGGTGGTTTCATTTTCATTTGGGGCTGTGGCCAGTGGGTTTTCGACGGCTCTTATTGTTTGTTTGCTTCCGCTCTTAGTGAGCGGCTGATAGTGAAAGGCCAGGCCGGATTTGGGCCTACACGTTGCATTTTTGCGTTCATTGCGAGGCGATGACACTTATTTGCACCTTACTCAATACCAAAAAAGTTAAAAAACCACATGAGTTTGCAAATAACCCATTTCAAGTTACGAGTTAAATGTTGTCGCCGTTGTGCATCTTATTATCTATATTTATTGGCATTTTGCATGATCTGTTCAACAGTATTTTGAATTTATTTGCAACAAAGTTCCTTGAAACTCGAATGACATCACTTTCGCTCAGTGTATTTGGCATGAATGCATGGGTTTCCTACGCCCTTTTGATGATTTATAATGCCAGTGTTTGGACATCGCACGATGACATAATTCCCAGCTGAATGCAGCTAAACCTTTTAAAAAAAACCCACAACAGCGAAGGTCCACTCTAATTTCCATTGATGACCCGTACATGTAGATGAATGGAAAATACAAATCATTGAAAACTTTGTGCATACAAAAAAGTTAAAAAAGTTTAGATAAAAGATCGAACTGAACTGAACTGAAACTTGGACCCAGCAAATTGCTGTTAAACAATTAGAAGTGTACAACTTATGCGACAATATTATGTTATGTTAATATTCAAAGGCTTCAGTATAGAGTTGTTAACCCCTGCTAAAGCTTAACCCTGTTTGTGTTCCGACTTCCACTGCTCAAACTTCTGCTTTCTACCATTTCCCGCTGGGTTATCCAGTCCAGGTTTTCCGAGGGACGAACTGCAGCCAGATGCCGCCCTTGTGGACGCCCACGAAGGTCTGGGGATCTATTTCCGTGCCGCTCAGTGTGCGCGGACTGACCAGGACCTGGAATCGCTGGACAATGGCCGCCAGAGCGGCCTTGGCCAGCGCCAGACCCAAGCGCATGCCGACGCACTGGCGCGGTCCGTTCCCGAAACCCAGAAAGATGCCCTGCTGCTTGCAGGTCTTCAGTCCGCCGTCCAGGAATCGCTCGGGCCGGAATAGATCGGGTTCCGGATAGAGATCGGGGTCATTGTGCAGGGCGTAAATGGGCACCATCACATTGTCGCCGGGCCGCAGCTTGAGTGGCTCCGAATGGTGGCTACCCCGCAGCTCGTACTCCTTGGTGCAGGTCTTTGATGCCCAGCCGCCAGCCGGATAGATGCGTAAGCTCTCTGAAGATATATATATCTCTGAAATACTTGGCATTTCCACGTGGCATACCCACCATTAAAGCAGGCACTCAGATAGGGCAGGTCTATCAGCGCGTCCAGATCGGGCAGCTCTCCGCCGGGATTGAGCTGCTGCAGCTCCTCGACCAGACGTCGCTGGCTATCGGGATTGCGAGCCAGCTGGAGTGGCAATATATATTGGATAGCCGAAGAAGGTTGCTATGTATCAGGGAACATACCAGCAGAAGGCAGTGGGCAATGCTATTGGAGGTGGTGTCCAGGCCGTCGAACATGAAGGTCATGGCATGCGAGGCCATGTCCTCCTCGCTGAGGCCGAGTTCCCTCTGCATCTCGAGCAGGTGGTTGATGAAGTCGTTCCGCTCCTGGTGCTTCGCACGGCGCAGGCGCAGAGCCTCGCCGATCAGCGCGCCGTAGAATTGATCATGGGTGCGGGGGAAGACCTTGGGACGCAGCCTGCGCGGCAGATTCGGAAAGAGGCCACTGACGGCACCGGCAAGGGCCAATCCCCGGTTCTCGGCGGACATCTCCTGGTTCTGCCGCACAACCGGCAGCGGATTGTCGCTGAAAGTGCGCGCTTGGATGCCCAGGACGCAGTCAAACAGGGATTCACCCGTGAATCGCAGACCGAGCTACACAGAAACTCCGTCCACTTGAGGAGGCATCAAGTGATAGGTGCTAGGATTACTCACATCAATGCAGTCCAGGTCCCGGCCGCCGGCCGACTTCACTGCGATGAACTCGCTGAGATCCAGGCACACGCGCTGCATGATAGCATGGGTGGTCCGGATGCGACCGTTGGTCAGCAGCGTGGAGAAGACCGCCCGCTGGCGGCGCCACTCCTCGCCCTCGAGCACGAAGGGATTGAGCGCGACCAAGCGATCCTTGGCGATGTCAATCATCTGGGCGGCGTCGTTGTTCTCAAAGTGACTGAAGGCGCTGACATAGATCTCGTAGACGAGCCGGGGTTCCAAAACCAGCAGCTTGGGCGCACGCAACAGGTAGCAGCCCACATAGCTATGGGTGTTCCGGTAGCGCCTGCACAGAAAGTGTATCCATAAATACATGGGATGTGCAACGCATCGCACCATACCCACATGTAGATATCGCGCATGTCCATGGTGAAGTGCTGGCGTGGCCAAACCATGCTGGGAAAGGAGCCGAGGAGCGGCAGGGCTCTGGGTTCCGTGACTCCACGACGCCGCCAGTGGCCAAAGTTGGACACCAGGAAGGCGTAGATGACGCCCAGCAAGGTGGCAATCCCCAGTAGAACCGATCCAAACATGACGACGTTGTGGGCGCAACTGAGTGGATGCAATTGAAGCGGGTGCGCGCATCTCGGACAACGAGGAGATCGGAGATCTCCTCCCTAGCGTGCTTCCCTTACATATATTATTGCCCATTTTGCAATGATCTTATGTGGGTTTGCGTGTCACGAAACTTGGAGGGGGTGCCATTATCGAATTAGCCAACGAACTGCTCTTATATCAGAACAACTAACTGAGGAGCTGCATTTCAATTTCAAAGGTCAACAAAGTTGGGATCCGAAGATCCGAATAATAGAACTTTCCATGAATAGAACTCTAATCTTCAGGCGGTGGGATGCTGATTAGATGGTATGGATATGGGTGCCACAACTTGGGTGCAATTTGTAAAAGATAAAGATTCTGAAAAATATATAAGACATGAAATCTTAATACCAAAACCCTTGCAAAGAAACGATATTTATTGAGTTTTAGTTTTATTATAATATATGGTGAAGTCAATTCTAGGATCGACCTCTCATATGAATTCTATGACACTTTCGGTTATACAAATGAATAAAAAAAGATAGATTTTTTTGTAATTTTTTCTTATAGGCTTTTTTTGTTTGATTTTCGATTAACTAAGGGAAAAACATGCGACGACTTGAAATGAACATCGGGATAGGATGCCCACATAAACATATATAATATATACTCATATATTTAGATATAGGTTTTAAGTAAATGATCTGCCAATTTGCGTATCTATATGCTGTGTGTATATCTCTATATGTATAAGCGAAATCATATCCGTAGACTTATCTGTCTAAAATTTGTTTGTGAAAATCGAAACATGAAGTGAAGACGACAGTTGCAAGTATAAAAAATATTTGTATGCTTGTTCTCCTTCCACAAATCTTCCATCCGCTCCATCTTTTGTTATATAAAATCTTCAATCTTCTATATCCACAACCTCAACCTGGCCAGCAGTATGCGTGTGTGTGTGTATGTTTTGTATCTATGTTTGATTCTAGCGACCTCAGTTTTTTCTTTTTATCTTTACCCTTTTTAGGTGGAAACAGGAAGCGGCAACAAGAGCAAATTCTCATTGCTTATCTGCGATTGGTTTTTGATTATTCGTGGGATGGGATTTCTTAGTATGCTCATCTATAATATATAAATGTGTAGATCATCGTTCAACGTTTATAAAAAAATATATAGTATATATGTTTTGCCATGAAGTTTGAACTGTTCTCTCAAGACTTTTGTTTTTGGGATGTCGTTAATGCACCAATGTGGAAATATTTATACTATATGTATATCAGTAAATGGATATGTTTAATTTTTCTCATTTATTTTGGGCAACTTTATTCTGGACTTTACGTTAATGTTTCCTGCGCGTTTTTTATTTTTTTTTTTATTTTTTGGAATGAATTCTCGTTTCCGTGTCGAAGAATTAACAAGACTATGAATGCTGAAGGCAGAATATTCAAGACTCGGCATCAGTTAACTATTTTCAGTGCATTTCACAAAGTTGGTAAGGAAAATCTGTATAATAAATCAATTCTCTTCGATGGTCACTAAACGCACAGTGAATTCTCGAACCGCACTTCATTGGATTACAATAGAAAATAGAAAAGTATATAAAACTAAATTCCTACTTAATTAAGGTATAAAATAAGAGTTGGAAAAATAAGCGAATTTGGGCTTAAGGAGCTCTTCTTTAGTCTAGGGTAAGTAGATGGAGTTATTATGCTATTACATATTTCATATTTTGTGGTTCATTGTGGTTGCTTTATGCGCCCTTCGATCTCTAGATACATATATCTATGTATATTTAGTTAATATTGTATTGTATTTCGCCTCTCGCTCGTTCTACGCTCCTCAATTCAATTCTCCTCTCATAACGTTTCACTTTGTTTTTGTTAAATTTTATTTTAAATATCACGGCATTCAGCTGAGGTCTGATCTGATCTATTTCTTATGCTTA